AGACAAAAAACAGACACGCACATAGAAATGCATATACGCACAGAAACACACACACAAAGACACCTACACACACATGCGCACAAACACACAAATACAAACAGAAAATTACACGCACAAGCACACAACCACACCAATCGCAGAGACACAAACGTACCCACACATACAAATAAACACACCAATACACAAACGCACACAATCGCACGCACACAGAAACAAACACACACTCACAAAAACACACACACATAAATACACATATACAGAAAAACGCACACAAGCACAAATTCACACACATACAAAAACATGCATAAACATACACACAAACAATATATATATACTCAGAAACATACAAGTACACACAAAAACAAACTCACAAACACGCACACAGATGCACACTCAAACAAACACAACACACACAATCACACACATGGAAACACACGTAAAGACACACTCAAAAGCACACAAACACAAACAGAAGCACAAAATCAAATACAAACGCACACATAAATACACATACACGGACACACACAAACAAACACACAAAGATAAGCAAATATACACACACACACAAACAGAAACACACACAAACACTCATAAAAACACTCACAAACTCATACACACAAAATCGCACACGGGCAAGCACACAGAAACATAAAAAACACACAAAAACACACACACCAATACACGTACACACATACACACAATCAAACACACAAATGCACACACAAAGAAAAACATACAATCACACACAAACGCACACGCGAACACACTCGCGCAAACAAACGCAAAAACACATAAATACACATGCAAACTCTCAAACAAACAGACACACCCAAAAACACACATACACACTTACACGCACACAAACACAAACACACAACATCATCAACAAAATATCAATTACAGAGCGCCTTTCACGTCCTGAGGACTTCCCAGAGCGCTGAACAGGAATAGGATCATGAACTCGATCTTCTGGACGATGGACAGACTGGGCGAGCGTGTGAGTGATGGGGTCGGGCGAGGTTGGGAATGATGGTGTCGGGCGAGGGTGGGAGTGATGAGGTCGGGCGAGGGTGGGACTGATGGGGTCGGGCGAGGGTGGGAGTGATGGGGTCGGGGAGCCTGGTGTGTGAGAGTGCACGAGCTGCAGAATTTGGATGATCTGCAGCTGTGAAAGGAAGACACACAACAGCAACAACAATAATTGTATAGCGCCTCTCACGTCGGGAGGGCGTCCCACGGCGTTGACACATACACACAAACACTCACAAATGCACACACAAACACAATCAGAAACATATACACAAACATACACACAAACAGACACGCACACGTACACACACAGAAACACAGAAACAAAAACACACAGAATGGCACATACACAAGAAAAACACAGAAGCTCACTCAAAAATACACAAACAAACACAGTCACAAAAACACTCAGACACACATACACAGAAACACGCACATATACAGAGATACGCAAACAGACACACACAAGACACACACACAGACTAAACCACATGCCCTGAAACACACACACACAGACATACACACAGTGTTGTCATGGGATAATGTTCAAGTTTGGTTTAAGGATATAAAATAGAAGTGCAAAGGCGGCAAAGCTCAGTGACTGAAGGCAGAACCCAAAACAATGGCAATATAAGGTCAGGACGTACAAGGACACGGAAAGTCTGTTCACACTTACACACTGGACGAAACGACTGATCAGGAGATAATAAAATGGGGTTAAAGGGAGAATTGAAGCATGTTATGGATATAGCCATATAAGGAGTTGTTTTTCTTTAAAAAGACAGCTTTGTCTGGAGTTATTAAGTTATCTTTAAACGAAGGTTTGTTAGATATCTCTCGGGAACGGTAGCGGAGCAGTGGGAGACACGACCAGTGCTGTGACAGAAATCTGGTCAGTACTGTTATGTGTCTTGTGTATTATTTGAATGTATCATTTATTTATGTATTATCTGCTGTTTTGACCTGAATATAGTGACTGAACTCAACCAATTGGTAAATTGGAATCGGATCATTCTGAAGTTGTTTTAGATACCTGGATATGCTTCTAACATCAGTCACACACACAGACAGACACACACACATTAATACATATTGAGTGTTTGATGTAAACGATGGCTTGTGGCCTCACACTGTCACACCGATTCCTGTCACAATATTCAGCCGCACTGATCAGACAGTCACAATAAACACATTGAGATATTGGAGTCATTCAGACTCTGGAGACACATTGCTTTACTTACTCCAGTCTCTGTATTTTACACTCCGGTTTCCTCAGAGCCTCACACAGTCGCTTCACTCCACAATCTCCCAGTTTATTATTATTCAGGTACAGCTCTGTCAGTGAGTGGTTTGCGCTGAGGGCGGAGGTCAGATCCTCGGTACAATCAGCTGTCAGATTGTTACTGTCCAACCTGGAGATCAGAGACACAGAGATATGACAGGGATCAGAGTAAACACAGTGTGTGTCACCCACTGTCACTCACAGTTTGTTTGATGCCGGACAGGTTGTAGGAGTGCGACACACACGCACACACACACACACACACCATGATACACACCAACCCAGACACGCAGACCCAGACACACTCCTACTCAGACACACATAAAACACATGACCCACATACAGATACATAGAAACAGACACAATGACCCAAACACACACAGATGCGCACACATAGACACACACACACAGAGACACTGAAATACACACAAACATATAGAAACACACATACACAAACATGCACATAAATAAATGCACACACACACAACACAAAAGCACCCACTCAAACACATACGTACGAAAATACACACAGAAACACACAAACAAACACACAAACACGTAAACGCACACAATCCCCCACACTCAGAGAAACACACACAAACACACAGAAACGCACAAAAACGCACACACAAACATGTGCACACGCACATACGTAAACAGACATAAACACAGAAATAAACACAAGCAAACATACATACACAAACATACACACAAATACACAAAATACACACACAGAAAGACACAAACAAACAAGCACACACAAAAACAAACTCACAAACACGCACGCACCTGTACACACAAACAAACACAGCACACAAATACAAACATACAAACACACATAAAAACAGAAATAAATACACACACACACAAAATCACATACAAACACACACACATAAATACACATACACAGATACACAAACAAACATACAAATATACACACATTCAAACACAGAAACCCACAAACACGCACAAACTCTCACAAATTCATGCACACAACACCGCACATACGCATACACACACGCGTGCAAACAATCACATGCACACTTACAAACATAAACAAAATCACACACAAACACACACAAATATATATACACACACACAAACACATGTCCCAGTGCCAAATACACACACACACAGACATGCACACAAACACACATGGACATACGCAGATATACTCACACACACAGAAACACACACAAATACACACACAAACAAACACATGACCCACAGACAAACACACACACAGACACACACACAAACACACTCATATAAATACACACACACACAAAAACAAACAATACATAGAAAAAAATGCACCCACACAGAGAGAGAAACAGACTGACACACACACAGAGACACATATACACACATAAACACTCACACAAAGACACATACACACAAACACACACACATACACACATAAAATTACACTCACAAACACACACCCAGACAAATGCACTGACACAAACGCAGGGAAGAGTTGGGAACACACACACAAACACACGCACAATCGCAGGAACATACACAAACGCACACACAACAACAACAACAAGATAACATGTATAGCGTCTTTCACATCGGGAGGACGTTTCAAGGCGCTGACACACACACGAAAACAATCACAAATGCACACACAAACACAAACATATACACAAACATACACACGCGCACAAATACACACACAGAAACACAGAAACAAACACACACACAATGGCACATACACAAGAAAAACACAGAAGCTCACTCAAAAACACACAAACACTCGCAAAAACACTCAAAGACACACATATACAGAAACACACACAGACACAATCATATGCACTGACACACACAAACACACAGATACACGCAATATTGTCATGGGTTAACGTTAAAGTGTGGTTTAAAAATATAAAATAGAAGTGCAAAGGCTGCAAAGCTCAGTAACTGAAGGCAGAGCACAATACAATGGGACGATAAGGACACAGAAAGTCTGTTCACACTTACACACTGGACGAAGGGACTAATTAGGAGAGAATAAAATGTGGTTAAAGGGAGAATTGAAACATATTGCGTATATAACCATATAAGGTGTTGTTTTTCTTAAAAAAAGACAGCTATGGTTGGAGTTATTAAAGTGTCTTTAAACAAAGGTGTGTTAGATATCTCTCGGGAACGGTAGCGGAGCAGTGCGAGACACGACCAGGGCTGTGACTGGAATCCGATCGGTACCGTTTTGTGTCTTGTGTATTATTTTATTGTTTCATTTATTTGTGTATTTCCTGCTGTTTTGACCTGAATATAGTGACTGAACTCAACCAATTGGTAAACTGGAATCGGATCATTGTAAAGTTGTTGGAGATGGATGCAAATGTTTCTCACAGCAGATACACACACACACAGAGACACACACACACAGACAGAGTCATGCACACACACACTCACAGACACACACACACACACGCCCACACTCTCACAGACACACACCTTAATACATGTTGAGAGTTTGATGTAAACGATGGCTTGTGGCCTCACACTGTCACACCGATTCCTGTCACAATATTCAGCCGCACTGATCAGACAGTCACAATAAACACATTGAGATATTGGAGTCATTCAGACTCTGGAGACACAGTGCGTTACTTACCGCAGACTCTGTATTTTACACTCCGGGTTCCTCAGAGCCTCACACAGTCGCTTCACTCCACAATCTCCCAGATTATTGCCCCCCAGCCTGGACACAGAGACACAAACACAGGGAATATGGTGTAACAACACAATACACATTGACATGTATATACAGGAGCCTTTCACGTGGGGAGCAAGTCCCAAGGCGCTGGGACCAGGGTCACACACACACACACATGTGCCCACACACACATCACTCTCTCTCTCTCTCTTTCTCTCTGTATCTCTCTCTCTGTTCCTTTCTCTGTTTCTCAGTTTCTCCCTCACAGTCTCTCTCTCTCCCTTTCTCTCACACAGTCTCTCTCTCTGTCTCAGCCATTCTCTCTATGTCACTCTCTCTCCATCTCTTGGGTCTGTCGCCCATTCTGTCTCTCAGTTCCCCTCTCTGAGTCTCTGTGTCTCCAATAAAACATGGTCACTGCACTTCTCTCAGATATTCATATATTCTCTCTAACGGTCTCTCACTCAGTCCCTTTCTATGTCTCTCTCTCTCAGTCTCTCTCTCTCTGCCTCTCCCACAATACACACAGTCATTACACTTTATAAAATACTATCTCTCACAGTCTCTCTCTTTTGCTCAGTCTCTCTCTCTCACACACACATACAGGCAGTCTCTCTCACTCTCTCTCACACACACACAGACAGTCTCTCTCACTCTCTCTCTCATCCTCTCAGTCTCTATCTCTCAGGCTCTCTGAAGCTGTCGCTGAGTCTCTCACTTTACTTCTATATCTCAATCTCAGTCTTTTTCTCTATCTCTCCTGCAGTTTTGCTCTCTCTCTCTCTCTCACCCATTATTTCTCTCAGTCCCTCTCTCTCTGAGTCTCTGTCTCTCCCTCTCAAAACACAGTCACTACATTTCTCTCATATATTCACATATTCTCTCTCAATGTCCCTCACTTATTCCCTTTCTCTCTCTCTCTCACACACAGTATCTTTCTCTCTCTCTCCGTCTCTCTCTCTCTCTCTCTGCTTCTCCCATAATACACAGTCACTAAACTTTATAATATATTCTGTCTCAGTCTCTCTCTTTGTCTCAGTCTCTCTGTCACTCAGACAGTCTCTCTCAGTCTCTATCTCTCAGCATATCCCTCTATCCGTCTCTCAGTCTGTTTTTCTGTCTGCCTCTCTCTCTCTCGCAGACATTCTCTGTCTCCTAGTATTTCACATTTTCTCTCAATCTCTCACAATCTTTTGCTCTGTATCTCTCACAAAACACACAGTCAGTACACTTTATAATATATTTTCTCTCTCAATCTCTCTCAGGCTCTCTCTCCGTCTCTCTCATATTGTGTCTCTTACCTGCTCTCAGTCACTCTCTCAGTCTCCTTCTCTATCTCTCCTGCAGTTTCTCTCTCTCTGTCTCAGTTTCTCCCACAGAGCACACAGTCACTACACATTATAATATTTCCTCGCAGTCTCGCTCTTTCTTCTCTCTCTCAGTCTCCCATTCTCAGTCTCTCTCTGACTCTCCTACAAAACAGTCACGTTATGATATGTTCTCTCTCACAGTCGTTCAGTCTCTCTCAGTGTCAGTCTCTTCCATAAAACACAGTCACTACCCATTATAACACAATCTCCCACCACCCAATCTCTCTTTCTATGTCTCTTTTTTTCTATATATCAGTTATTCTCCCTCTCTTCTAGTCGCTCCTCCGTCTCTCTCTCTCTCACTCTCACAGTCTATCTCTAATGCTCTCTCTCTCTCTCTCTCTGTCGGTCCCTCTCTCTCACAGTCTCTCCCTCAGCCACGCTGTCTCTCTATTTCTCTCTCTCAGTCTCCCAGCTTCTCTCAGTTATTCTCTCTCCTAGTATCTCTCTCTCTCTCACACACACACAATCTCTCCCACAAAACATATGGTCACCTCTCATTATAATATATTTTCTCTCACTGTCTCTATCTGCCTCTCTCTGTCTGTCTGACTCTGTCACCCACTCTCCGTCTCTCTCGGTCATTCCCAAAAAACACATTGACTACACTTTATAATATATTCTCTCCCAGTCTCTCTCTCTCTCCCTCAATCTCTTCCACAAAACACTGTGACTACACTTTAAATATATTCACCCTCTCAGTCACTGCCTCTTTTGCTCTCTATATCGCAGTTACACTCTCTCTCACCTTCTGTTTCTACTTCTCTCCCCCTCTCTCCCAGTCTCACTCTCTGTGTCTCACAGTCTCACTCTCTCAGTCTCTCCCACAAAACCCAGTAACTACACGTTATAATGCATTCTCTCTCACAGTCTCTCTCTCTCTCTCTCTCTCAATGTCTCTTTCAGACTTTTACTAAAGCTATGTCTCTCTCAGTCTTTCTCTTTCAGTCTCTCACTCTGCCTCTCCAGTCCCAGTCTTTCTCTCATTCCCGCACTCTCAACTTCTCTCTCTCTCTCTAACTCTCTCTCAGCCTGTCTCTCAGTCTATCTCGCTTAGTCTCGCTCTCACTCAGTCTCTTTCACTCTCAGTCCCTTTCGCAGTCTCTCTCTCTCTTTCTCTGTCTCTCTTTCTCTGTCTCTCAGTCTCCCTCTCTCTCTCTCTGGGTCTCTCTATGTCTCGCTCTGTCTCTCTCTCTATTGGCTCTCTGTCTGTCTACCTCTCCCCCTCTCTCGCAGTCACTCTCTCTCTCTTAATCTCTCTCTCAGTCTCTCTCTCCCAGTCTCTCACTCCTCCAGTCTCTCTCTCTCTCTCTATCGATGTCTTTCAGTCTATCTGTCTCTCACTCAGTGCCTCTCTGTCTCTATGTCTCACAGCCTCTATTTCTAACCCTTTGTCCGTCTCGCCCCGTTTCTCTTTCCCTCTCCGTCCCTCAGTCTCTTTCTCTCTCTGTCTCACCTGCAAAACACACAGTCAATACACTTTAAAATATGTTCTCTCAAACAGCCTCTCTCTCTTTGTTTCTCTCTCCTCAGTCTCTCTCTCTCTGTTTCTTGCTCAGACATTCTCTAACTCAGTCTCTTTCTCAGACACTTTCTCTCAGTCTCTTTCTCTGTCTCTTGCTTTGCCTCTGTCATTCTCTCTTTCTGCCTTTCTCTGTGTGTCTTTCTTTCTCTCTCAGTCTCCCACTCATAGAAGACGCTTATCTTCGACCATGACTTTGGCCTCCCTCACTCCTCTGTGCCTTCCCTCACCCCCACCTCTCCCCTCAACCACACCTCAACCTTCACCACCACTCGCGCTCACCTCACCCACACCCCACCCGTCATCCCCACCCCAAAGCTCCCAACTACCCCACCCCTACCACCACACCACCCCTCCCCCATCCTCGGACCCCCACAACTGACTGTCCAGCGCCTTCGGGTGTACACCCGCCATGAAAGGCGCTATATAACTGTCATTTTGTTGTTGTTGCATTTCCTCTCTCTCTCTCTCTCTCTCTCTGTCTCTCTCACGCTCTCTTTCAGTCTCTTTTTCTCACTCTCGCAGCCATTCTCTCCCATTCTCTCTTTCTGGCTTATACTGCCTTACCCATAAAACACACATTTTCTCACACATCCTCTCTCTCCCTTCATCTCTCTATCTGTCAGTATCTTTCCCTCAGTCACTCGCTCTGACTCTCTCTCACACGCGTTCCCTCTGACTCTCTCTCTCTCTCTCTCTCTCATTCTCTCGCTCAGACTCTCCAACAAAATGCACTGTCACTACACATTTTCTTTCTCCTCAAAGCTTTTCTCTCTTTTTATCTCAGCCTGTCTCTCTCTCTCTCTCTCTTAGCCTTCCTCTCCTATTCTCCCTCTCTCCCAGTCTCTCCCACAGCTTCTCTGAATCTCTATATCTCTCTCTCTCTCAGTCTTTCTCACTCAGTCTCTCTCTCCAGTAACTCTCTCCGTCAATCTTTCTTTCTCTCTGTCGCTTTCTCTTTCTCTCCCTCAGTTTCTCTCGCTCAGTTTCTCTCTCTCAATATCTCTCTTTCTCTCTCAGTCTCTCTCTTCCAGTATTCTGGAAGAGAGAGACTCAGTCTCTAACTTTCAGTCTCTCGCACAGTCTCTCATTCTCTCTCACTCAGTGCCTCTCTCTTTCCCTCTCAAACTCCCGTTCTGCCTCTCTCTCTCTCTTCTTGTCATTCTCAATCTCTCTCTCTCGCTCTCTCAGGTTTTACTCTCTTCCCGTCACTCTCTCTGTTTCCAGCTCCCCACTCTCTCTTTCTCACCTACGAAGCACAGTCCTACATTTTGTAGTATATACACTCTCACAATGTCTCCCTCTTTCTCACAGTCTCTGAAGGGTAGTGATAGTGTTTTGTTGGTGAGCAAGAGCGAGAGACTGCGACAGAATAAAGGAAGAGACGGGGAAATACTCAATCTGAGAGAGACTGTGAGAGAAAGCAAGTACAGAGAGACAGAGAGAGAATGAAAGAGACAAGAAGAAAGAGTGACAGTGAGAGAGTGTAAAAGGCACAGAGAGAGAGAGAGAGATGGTCAGTTTGTTGTGTAGGAGAGACTGAGAGACTCAGAGTTACAGAGAGAGAGGATAGTGACACTCAAAGAGAGACATCAAGTGAGTGAGACTGTGACAGAATGATTACTAGAGGAGACTGAGCGAAAATATATAGCGTGTAGTGACTGTATTTTGTGGAGAGACAGAGGGAAACTGAGAAAGAGAGAGAAAAAGAGAGAAAGAAAGAGAGAAAGAAAGGAAAGATGGAAAGACTGAGAGAGAAAGATATACAAAGAGGGCGATTGAAAGAAACTATGAGAGAATATGTATAGTAAAGCGTAGTGACGGTGAGTTTTTTGGGCGAGGCAGAGAAAGAAAGAGACAGAGCGAGAGAGTCTGTGAGAGAGGGAGTATGTGTGAGTGGGAGACTATGAGAGAGAATGAGCGAGTTTGAGTGAGAAAATGAGAGAGAGAGATTGGGGTAGAGAGACCGATTCTGAGAAAGAGAGAGAGAGAAAGAGACAGAAAGACAGAGAGGCAGGCAGGCAGATACCCTGAGAGAGAGAGAGAGAGAGAGAGAAAATATATTACAAATTATAGTGACCGTGTGTTTCTCGGGAGAGGCAGAGCGAGAGAGAGAGAGACTGAGACAGAAAACACACTGAGAGAAATAGAGAGGGAGCGTGAAGGAGAGACTGATAGAAGGAGAGACTAAGAGAGGGAAACATTAAGAGAGAGTATATTATATATTTTATTGACATTGTATTTTGTAGGTGAGACAGAGACAGAGACTGAGTGGGAGAGAGATAGAGAGACTGAGAAGGAATTTGAGACTGAGTTACAGATACTGTGAGATAGTGACTGCGAGTGACAGAAAGAACGAGACTGAGAGAGATAGAGAGAGACTGAAAGATAATATATTATAACTTGCAGTGACTACGTGTTTTGTAAGAAAGACAGAGAAATGATGACATAAAGAGACTAAGGGGGAGACAGACATAGCGAGAGAAATACCGAGAGAGAGAGAGAGACTGCAAGAGAAACAGAGAGAAACTGAGAAAGAGAGAGACTGACTGGGGGAGAGAGAAGGCGGAGGACTGGTAGAGAGAGAGAAACTGAGAGAGAGAGAGAGAGTTAGAGACAGAACAAGAGTCAGTGATAGAGATGGAGAGAGAAAGAGATTGAGTGAGAGAATATGTGATAACGTGCAGTGACTGTGCGATACCATTCTCCCATTGATCATCTGGTGTTTAATGTCACTAAAGAATGTCACTAAAGTCCTCTAGAATGGCTTTGAAATAAGAATAATATTTACAAAAATAACTTACTGCAACACCTGACATTTGTACAAAGCAGGAACCAGACGCTGGAGACCCTCATCATGAATGTTGCAGTGACTCAGTTCCAGTTGTTTTATTGTGTCACACAGTGCAATGGCCTGAGACAGCACAACACAGTCTATCGGTGTCAGTGTCATCTTTGAAGAGCCGCCACCCAATGATAGTGTTTGTACAGAGCCCAGTGTTTGCTGTGCCAGGGTTTGATTCTGAGACTCAAACAGATAGTGGAGTGTGTTCAGCAGATTCCTTTTCCCACGGTCGCTCTTGTTGTTTTGCATCTCAGCTTTAACTCTTCCCTTCAGCCATTCGATCACAGCGCAGGTTGTCTGATGGACAAATGGCCCCAGAAACTCCTCCAGTGGCTGAGCTGCCCGTGGGGAGGAGAGACCCGCAACAAAGCGCAGGAATATCTCAAACCGGCCGTCCTTCTCCCTGTGAGCTTCATTCAGGAGTTTCCGCAGATTTCCTGCATTTTGAGGCAGAAACTGAAAGAGTGCGGCTACAAACTCTTGGATGGTGAGGTGCGGGAATGTATAGGCCACGCTGTGCTCTGAAGACTCTCTCTCCACAAGTTCCATGAGAAACCCAGAGAGGAACTGGGAAGGCTGGAGGTTATATTTGATCAGATCTTCATCATTAAAGACAATGTTTCTCTGGGAGACACCAGTGAAGGCCATCTCACCAATCTTCAGCATCACATCACGAGGGCTTTTCATCTTGACACTGTGATGTGATAGTATGTTATAAATATAATAGGAGAAGAGTTGTGTGACTGTCTTGGGAACTCGCTGTTTGTTGCTGTGTTTCCGTGTAAAGAAGGGACCGAGAGACAGAGCGAGGATCCAGCAGTAGGACGGGTTGTAGCACATGGTGAGCAGGAGCTCGTTCTCCTCCACGTGGCTGTAAACAGCAGCCGCCACCTCCTGTTCTTCAAAAAACTTGTGAAAATATTCCCTTCTCTCTTCACCCACAAATCCCAGGATTTCAGCCCAGACACTGACCCGAGCCTTTCCCAGTAAATGTAATGCAGTGGGGCGGCTGGTCACCAGCACTGAGCAGCCTGGCAGCAGCCTTTTCTGCATTAAACTGTACACAATGTCAGACACATCACAAGGGAATTCAGGGTCTGTGCACCTGCGCTGAGGCTCTGTGTCTCTCCGACTGTCAGCGAAATCAATCCTTGCCCTGAATTCATCCAAACCATCAAATATAAAGAGCAACCTCTCTGGGTGTTTCCACAGCTCTTCCAGAACATCCCTGAGGTAAGGATACTGCTCCACGATCAGACGGCTCAGGGTTGTTCTGTCGTGAAGTCTGTTCAGGTCTCGAAATTTAAAAACGAATACAAAGTGGAAGTGAGGATAGATTTTGCCTGTGGCCCAGTCATGGACAATCTTTTGCACCATGGTTGTTTTTCCAATCCCAGCCACTCCACTGACTACTGCGGAAGTCCCTGTAGGAGGGTCAGATCCGCTTCCCTGAGAAGAAGGTAAATTATTTATTTTTGAGAAGCTGCTGTGGAACAGTTTATCAGTTCGGATTTTTTCCAGCTCTCCCCGGAGTTGCTTCTGTCTCCACTCCTCGTGGTCTCTGCCTCTCGCCAGCAGCTCATGTTCTACCAGTTTCCGGTGACGGAGATCAGAAATGATTGTTAATTCCGTGTAGCGATCAACCAACTGAAACGTCCTCACCTTCTCCTTTATCAGGATGGTCTTCACTTCTAGTTTCTCACATTGTTTCTGTAACGTCTCCTTGTGCAGTCGCTGAATAGCTTCATGTTGAATATTAAATAATCATAAAGTAAATAGAAGCATTATTGAGCATTGTTAAACAATAATACTTCTATTCAGTGTAAGGCCTTTCAAGGCAGGAGAACTGCCCAAAGCGCTGCACTAGCTTAACCCTAGGGTGTAGTGGCTGTCTTTCGCTGGCAAACACAGCGGCTAATTTGTGGAAAGCGATGTCCCACAAGTGAGTCACCACATTTATTTGTGAGATTTTAGCCGGAAAACCGGGAGTGTCAAACTCCCTTCTCTTTTCAAATGGTATCTTGGGGTTTTTAAAGTCCATCTGAAAAGGGAGACACGACCTCGGTTTGATATCCCAATGGTGGCATCTGCGTCAATGCAGCACATCCCAGAACTGAGCTGGAGTGTCAACTAGTCCTGTTGATGTGAACTTGAGCAACCTCTGACTCCGAGACAAAAGGAACACCAACTGAGCCAGGCAAACAAGGGTTAAACAATCTGAATGGCATTCAATCCATGGAGATTTTCAGGCCATTATATGACGACTTGTGAGACTTCATCTGATTTATTGTGAGAAAAATCATACCAAAGCAATATTTGTTGAAATAATCTAAGAATCCAATAAGGACCATTCCCCTCCCTCCTCATCTTCAATCCTCCCCGCTCCCCTCCTCTCTCTCTGTGTCTGCCTACTACCCTCTCTCCTCCTCATTTGAGTTTTCTGGAAATCACCAAGTAAATGGAAAAGTTTTAAACTGTTTATTTCGGAAGTGATTGACTGGCTTGAATCTTGTCATTGTCTCATACCTTTCATATCACTGGAGACGTCTGGTACACCTCGGTCGATGGTCACCTCATTCACTAGACTGGCACCTGTTTGAATAGAGTTTATATTACCAGCTTGAATGAACTTTCTCTCAATACTATTTGAGTAAAATCTGTAACTCGCCACAGAATGGAGACACTGCGTACCATCACACATTCATAGAATGTTACAGCACAGAAGGAGGCCATTCGGCCCATGGTAATATGTATAACATTACCTTGTTCCTGTATTTCAGTCATGATTTTGTTCAGTTTTGCAAAGTTGGCCTCATTTTCACAAAGGATTCCCACATCACTATCCTGGCCTGGGAACCTTTCCCCATCACCATGTTCAGAAGAAGTTTTGAGCTTTGTCTCTTCCTCCCACTGTGTGTGAGCTCAGTGAGTTTCTGCAGAGAGTGAGCATTAATGTATTGAAGATGGAGTGACACATGAACAGTGACAGTGATCAGCAATACCCAGACCAATTGATGGCTTGGCTGGATTTGCTATCCCTTCCCTCCACAAACTGCTTTCCTCCGCGACTATGTCTTTGACCATCTTCCCTCCCCTTCTCTTCCCAAATCCAGCTCGGGCTCTAACTTTCAACTGTTAGTGCCTTGAGACTGCCTCGCCATGTGAACGGTGCTATTCAAACGCTATATAAACCGACATCTATTACACTGTGCAGTACTGCTCCACTACAAACATATAGTGCATGGCCTGCGTTACCACACAACTGGCTGATTAAGTGTTGATTGGCATTCTGCTGATTTCCTGATAACAGCAGCACATGAGCCGTGCAGACAGGCACAGATTTGCTGAGCTTTTAATAAATGAAAGGGAAACCTCCTGACTCAAACCTACTTTGTGCTCCTGGGGGCTGAAACATTCCTTCTGTGTCAGCCTTGAGCTGATGTCCTCCACACCTTCCTCAATGGCCTGTTCCAATCTATCCCGATAGAACTTTGTCAGTCTGTGCAGCTGGTACCCGTTGTACAGGGCCAGGGTCTCGGTGAATAAGGTGCTTGTGCCTGTTAGTAACCAGTAAAAACATTAGTCAGACATGATTTTACTTGTATTCTCTAAAAATATATTTCAGGAAATATTACATTCATTGTTGCAATAAATCAGAATAAACCATCATCCATTAGCCTAAAATACAATTTGGAAGCTAACATCAGAGAACTGCCAGCCTGGCTCAGTTGGTATAATTCCCATTCCTGAGACAGAAGGTTGTTTTGTTCTGATTCTTTTGCCTATTATCTTAAGTCTGTGTCGCTCATTCACGGACCCTCCAGAGAAACAATTATAGCCTCTCTACTCTCAAAATCCCTCATGGTTTTCGAACACGTGTATTAAAACTATTAAGATAAACCTATCAGAGGGTTTTGAGGGTTGAAGCCACACGGCGGGAAATGGAGCTCATATCATCTCACTGCAAAGCAGGTCACTGCTGGAGTATCCTGCACTGCTGAGCTGCCAACTTCAGAGTGGGCACTCAACCAAAGCCCCATTTGTTGTTGCTATGCCGTTGGTTAAAACAAGGGAGTTGCTCGCGGTATCCTGGATAAATAAACACCAAACAAAATTGGGTGGGAGTGCAAGGCGCGATCGAAAAGAAAGGTTTTCAGCAGAGAACTGAAAATAGGAAGAGCGGGGTCGAGCCGAAGGAAGTGAGGAGGGGAGTTCCAGAGCTCCTCGGGGAGTAGTGGCTGGCGGCAGAGGATTCGGGGGACAAGGAGGAGGCCAGACCCGGTGGAGAGAAGGCAGCGGGCACTGTTGTGAAGAGAGAGGAGGTCATAGAGGTCGGGGGATGCAGAGGAGTGGGGGGATTTGAAGACAAGGTGAGGATCTTCAAGTCGATCCTCTCTGGGACAGCCAGCAAAGCAGTCTGGCCAGGACTGGGGGCTCGGGGAGCGGAGTTTGGTGCGGGTGAAAATGCGGGCGGCAGAGTTCTGAAAAATCTGGATTTCACGAATGGTAGCAGATCAGAGGCCGGCGAGGAGGGCGTTAGAATAGTCCAGCCGAGAGGTGACAATGGCATGAACCAGGGTTTCAGCTGCTTTTGTGGTGAGATATTGGCGGAGACGGGCGATGCGTCCGAAGTGGAAGAAAGCGGTGCTGGTGAGGGACCGGATGTGGGAGAGGAAGGATATTTGGGGGTCAACCTGACGCCTTGGTTACGTACGGCTTCGGAGAGTTTTAGTGGGAGGTCGGGTTTGTGGAGGAGGTGAGAAACGTGAGACTTCAGACGTTGACGAGAGCCAAAGAGTATGGCTTCCGTCTTGTCAAAGTTCAGCTGAAGGAAATTTGCGCTCATCCAGCCCCTGAGGTCCGACAGTCAGCTGACAGAACATCAGGGGACTGGAGGTCGAAGAGAGAGCTGGAAAAATAGTTGGCTATCGTCCCCATACATGTGGAAATGTACCCCATATCTGCGGATGACATCCCCAAGAGGGAGCATGTAGATCAGTAAGAGGAAGAGGCCAAGGATGGATCCTTGGGGTACCCGCAGGTGACCGGGTGAGAGCGGGAGGAGAAGCCGTTTGTGCAGATGTACTGCTGGCAGTTTGTGAGGTTGGATTCGAACCAGGCGAGTGCGGTCCCACTGAGATGGATGACGGAGGAAAGGCAGTGGAGGACGATGGCATGATCGAACTGTGTCAAACGCAGCGGAGAGGTCCAGGACGACAAGGAGGCAGAGGGAGCTCTGGTCACAGATAGAGAGGATGTCGTTTGTGACTTTCATAAGTGCAGTCTCTGTAATGTGGGCATAAACCGGATTGAAGAGATTCGTAGAGGAAGTGGGAGGAGAGGTGTGCGCGGAGTTGTTTGGCAACAACACACTCTATGACTTTTGCGAGGAAGGGAAGTTTAGAAATAGGGCGGTAGTGGCTGGGATTTGAGAGATCTTGCGAAGGTTTTTTTTTAGGAAGGGTGTGATGGCAGCAGTTTTGAGGGGGGCAGGGTCTGATCCGTAGGGAGGGACTGGTTGATGATGCCAGCCAATAGTGGCCAGAGGAAGGGGAGCTGTGTGACCAGCAAGTTGGTGGGGAGGGGATCGAGGCAGCAGGTGGTGGGTTTCATGGAGGTGATGGTAGGTGAGAGGGAGGAGGGAGAGTTGGGAAGGAAGGAATGTAGGATGGGGGTCGAGGTAGGAGCTGCTGATGGGGAGGGTGAGGAGGGCAGAGAGGGTTGGTGGTGGGTTACAAGAGGCAGGTGGATGAGGCTGCCTGTCGGATATTACATATTTTAGATGAAAAGATGTCTATGGGGTATGAAGCGTTTATGTTGTGTCTCACTGCTGTAGTTTAACAAAAAAGCCACACAGCTCAAACTATTCAGAGCACTGAAGATAATGTGTGTCCGTTGTTTATCTCGCTGGGAACACTCAATAACAACTGGCCTTCACGCCCCTCCCTTCAACTGCGGAGCCAGGGGCAAGGTGGAGGCAATGAGGGAGAGACTTAAAGCGCTTTGTGGCGTAGTGGCTGAAGGGACGGTCACCAATGGTGGAGCAGAGGGGGCGAGGGCCAAACAGGAGGCCGGAGCAGGTCTGGCTGAGACAGGGGGTGGGCGACTGGGGGTTGAGTATGTCGGCGAAATGCATGTCGGCATTCGAAAATGAGAGAAAGGAACATGAACTCGATCCGTTCGGAAATTGGGTGCCAGTGCAGCCTGGCAAGGACTGGTGTGATGACACTCCAGAGCTTTGTGTTGATTAGTATCCGGATGGCGGAGTTAATTGAATATTATTAATGGTGGATCTTGGGAGACGAACATGGAGGGCATTTGAAATGTCCAGCTGGGAGGTGGCAAACGTGCGGATGAGGTAGAAGCTGTGGGTGTGAGTTATGGTCAGAGGAGGGCAATGCGACAGAGGTGGAAAAAAACGATCCTGGTCAGGGAACGAAAGTGGGGAAGACAGTAAAGCTGTGGATCTAACCTGACTCCTAGGTTGCGCAGGAGTTTGGTGCGTTTGGGCGAGATCCTGGGGAGGTTGAGGGGTTTGGACCCACAGGAACGAAGAGGTTAGCGGGAGCCTAATAGTGTGGCTTCTGTCTTGCAGACGTTCACCTGGAGGAAGTTTGCGCTCATCCAGACTTTGTTGTCCGTCAGACAAACTGACAGGAGATTAGTGGACTGGGAGACATAAATAGAGGAGAAGCAGGAGGCGGAGAAGTAGATTTGAGTGTCATCCGCATACATGTAGGCTGTATCCACTCTACCCATCAGGGTGGTGGTTTACAGCGATAACAGGAGCTGTAAGTGAAAGACTAGACATGTCTTCCACTCCAAGACTTGCCCATGTGCCAGGCTGGTTGGTCTGTCACTGCACAACCTGCCCATGTGACAGGCTGTCCAGTCTGTCGGTGCAATACTTGCCCATGTGCCCGGCTGGCTGGTCTGTCACTGCAAAACTTGCCCGTGTGCCTGGCTGGCTGGTCTGTCACTGCAAAACTTGCCCATGTGCCAGGCTGGCTGGTTTGTATCACCTGGGTTTTGGTTCATGAACCGTCAAACAAGTACCAGATCTTCAATTAAACAAACTGGGAATTTGCTCAATCAAAATCGACATTGACAGATCTCCCAGTTCCAAGGCTGGTGAGATGAAAGTATTTATTTATGTGTAAAAGTACTTGATGAACTACTTACCTTTGTTCGTTATCGTCTCTTTAAGACTTTCCTCAAAGTCAGGTAAAGAGAAGACATTGCCTTCTGGTGTGTTGCCGGGTGTCTGATGCACACCGCAGATCATCGCATCGCCCTGTGCATTGGCAATCGGTTCAGTTTCCATGGAAGCCATCTCACTCGACGCACCCAAAATGCTGGAACACTGGTTGGGATTTGAAACCATATCACAATGTGTTTGGGTAACTGCAGATGTACTCGCTGTTTCATTCCCGCCAGTTGTGGATGTGTTTGGTTGTGGTGATGGTGACCATTTCATTGATTCATCAGGTTTTTCATGTCTCGGTGTTTCAGAGTTTTGTTTCCTCTTTCCCAGCAATGATCCAACAAGGCGTTTCATTGCTGCTAAGTGCAGCCGAGCTGGTGGTGAGTTTTGTGACAGGTGTTGAGCCTTATTTATGTTTATTGTAGAACAACGTTTACAAGGTGATCAGGGAATCCAGACGTGATCTACCAGACAATACCATCAGGCTTGCGTGTCCAATGACTTTCCTTCTTTCTCACATTTGACGTTTATCCTGCGAATGAAGTAAACTGTAAGTCAGGGTAATAAACAGGATTTAAGCGAAATCAGATTGCTTACTGAAAAAGGATAAATTTACTAACTTTTCTTGCATTTCGTTTCGTTCAAGTGAGGAGGATGTCTGAAAACGCTTCCCCATTTACTGTAAATTGTTGTGAATTTGTATTCCAGAGGTGAATGCATCAGCCAATTTCATAGAATCATAGAATTATACAGCAGAGAATAGCTACCATCATGCCTGTTCCAGCTCTTTGAAAAGAGCTGTCAAATCCATTTCCCAGCTCTCTCCCCATAGTCCTGCAAACATTTCCTCCCTAAATAATTACCTACTTCTCTCTTAAATAAAAGTTGTTATCGAATCCCCCAACCTTTCAGCCAATGCATTCTAGATTCCAACAACTTGTGTTTAAAAAAAACATCAACTCACCACTGTTTCTTTTAACATCTATTTTTAATCAGTGTACTTAGGTACCGACCCACCCGCCAGGAGAAACAGTTTCTCCTTCTTCATCATATTGAATTCCCTCATAATTTTGAAAGCTTCCATTAAGTCTCCTCTTAGCTTTCTCTGCTCCAAGGAGAATAATCCCAGCTTTTCTCGCCTCTCCTGATAACTGAAGTCGCTCATTGCTGTACTATCCTGGAAAATCTACTTTGCACCTTTTCCAATACCTTGAGAGGTTACTCAAGTGCGGTGCCCAGAACTGAACAGTCTCCAGCTGAGGCCTGACCAGTATTTTATTAAGGTTCACCATAATTTCCTGAGTATTATATTCTATGCCCCTATTTATAAAGCCAAGTACCCGAATGCTTTTTTAAAAAACGTTACCTGACCTGGCAAATTCAAAGATTAACTTATATTAACTCCAAGGTCTCTCTGTTCCTTCACCCCCTTTAAGATTGTACCATCACCTTATATTTCCACAGTCTTCCTCCGAAAATACATCACTTCGCATTTCTCAACATTCGTCTTCATCTGCCACATGTCTGCCCATTTTACCAGTCTGTCTATTACCTCTTGCAGTCTGTTACTATCCTCCTCACTGTTTGCTACTTGTCCGAGCTTACTATTATCTAGAAACTTGCAAACTGTACTCCCTATACCAATGTCCAAGTTATTTATACAGATAAAAACACACCAGTGGTCCCACAACCGACCCGCTCCGACCCCCACCCTGGGGCATAACACTACACACTTTCCTCCAGACAGAAAAACAACTGTTCACCAGCGCTCTCTGCTTTCTGTCTCCCATTTTGTCTATTTGGTGACAGCAACAGCTCGCAATTAATACGACTCTTCCTTTGTTAAATCTATGGAGAGTATCTTGGGTGAAAGGCGATGTACAAATGTAATTTTGTAATTTTCTATTGAAATACTATTACTACCACTAATTATTTCTATTATTTTTACGTTATTACATATTACATTTACAAGGTACCATTCACACCAAGAGGACATCACTAACTGCTTCACGAGATTTTGTAGGTAAACACATCAGCCAAATACGAAACAGCAATGGCATTTGAATAGCTTGAAGTGAATAACCAATTGTATTTGAGGAATTTTTTTCCATAACACTGGGAGAAACATGTTTAGCCCTGTGATAAAACCTAAGATTCCACCTAAGGTTTATTGCTATCCAAATCATGGTTCATCAGTCCTTCAATCCGAAATAGCATCTTAGGTTGTATAATCAAGTTCAATCATCAACTAAAGCCCCGGCTTCTTGTTCTGCATTTGTTTCATTGCTTGTACAGAAAGACAGAAAACCAGGCGCTGGGATAACTAACCACAGGATGTGCAGAGCTGAACTCACAGCCTCTTGTTCCTCTCTCTTGTTCCTCTCTGTTGCTGACAGTCACAGCACGAGAGCAAAGGGCAAAAATAACATGTAAATCAAACACAACTCAAATATACCATCAACAAATAGCAACAGTTCAAACTGGGGCCGTTCCTTCCACTGACAATCAGATGGTTGAGAATGTAGATTTGGTGTAAATCCTGTTAATTTGAGTTGGATAACCATGCTGTAGTGAGTTCGCTCATGTCGCCACAATCAGGGCGTTACCCACACAGACCAGACCAGCGGTTTATATCTTCATGAACAGAGAAACAGCCCCTCAAAATGGCTGTCACAGGCCCGGATACAACAAAATGTCTGCTCTGGGCCACTGAGGCCTGGTAAAGTCTGGTGTGTGCCACCACCTCCATATCTACACACATTGACACACAAAGTCACACACACACACACATGTACTCAGAAAGTCAAATAGACACACACCCTCACATACAGACACATACACCTACACACACACAAACACGCACACCTAGACATACATACACAAATAGACATACACAAATACATACATACACAGACAGAGATAAATATAGAGGGAGGGACACAGAGACACAAACACAGATGTATACACACAGTCCGCGAGATACAGAGAGATAAATTTGAAGACAAAAACAGAGAGAGAGACACACATGCACACTGACAAAGGAGGACAGAGAGGTACACAAACAAACAGACAGACTCATAGATACACAGACACAGAGAGAGGAAAACATAGACAAACAGACACACACAGATACAGACAGAGAGAAATACATACACGTGTAGAGGGAGATACTAACAGAGAGAGAGGGAGATAAACTATATACAAACATATAGATGCAGAGACAGAGATACAGATTATACAGAGTGAGCGCGAGAGAGAGAAAATATACACACACACACACATAGAAAGATACACACACACACACACAGATACAGAGAGGGAGACAGAGACAGAAACACAGACAGATGCACACTCATTCCGCCAGAGTGAGACAGAGACACAGAGAGATAAACTCACATGCAGAATCAGAGAGACAAAGGAAAGACACAGAGAACTAAACATACACAGACCCAGAGAGACAGCGCAAGACACACACACACAGATATACACACACATAGGCAGAGAGAGAGAGAGATACAAGGGTACACTCACGAACACGCACAGTTAAAGACAGAGTGAGATACACACAGAGAGATATTCACACAGACAGACAGGCAGAAAGGTTGAGAGAGAGTTAAGGACAGAGCGAGACACACATACAGGGAAACATAGAGAAAAAGAGAACAGACAGACAGTGCTATACCCATACACAGAGACACACAAAGGCAGAGAGTGAGAATGAGAGGGATGTTTCTGAAAATTATGTGATCTGTGTGTCTCTCACTAATCTTCAACATAGCTGTCACAGGACAGAGAACCACACAATGTCTGCTCTAGACAACTGAAGCCTGGTAAAGTGTGGTGTATGACAGTGCCTCCCCATCATCATCATACGCACATAGATACGCATACACACAAAGACATATACACGTACACACATACGCAAATATAAACACACAAGCGAAATGCGCACATACACAGACATGCATATACAAAAAATAGACACACACACAGACAGTCATATACACACAGAGAGACATTCACACACAGATATACACACACAGAAACATATACACAGAGAGAATTACACAGAAAGGCGTGTACACATAAACATATAGACACATATGCATACACATGCACAGAAAAACAGAAAGAAAGAGATACAGAGACACACGCAGACAGAGATAGATAGAGAGATAGGGAGTCACACACAAACACACATAGATATACACAGAGTCAGATAGATACAATGAGTGAAACACACAAACAGACACACAAGCAGAGAGAGGAAGAGATACACAGACACCTGTGCACACTCACAGATGCGTAAGCACACAGAGATAAACTCACACGCAGAATCAGAGAGACAAAGCAGAGACACAGAGAACTAAACAAACACAGACCCAGAGAGACAGATACACACACACACACAGATACACACACATAGGCAGAGAGAGAGAGAGAGAGAGAGTGACAGAGAGACACAATGAGAAAGTTTCTGAAAGTTACGTAATATGTGTATATCTTCCTATATAGTGGAGTCCTGTAGCTCAGTGGTTAGAGCACTCACTTTGCAAGCGAGAGACCCGAGTTCAATTCCAGGCAGGGCAAAACCTTGGGCAAGTATCCTCACTCCACACAGAGCCTAATAATAATCCCTCCAAAAACCAAAAAATAAATAAATTGGTCATTTTCAATCTACGACTGTTTGTGGGACATTGCTGTGCGCAATTGGCTGCCGCATTCGCCCACAAATATACAGTCAATTCACTTTACAGTGTGTTCTGTGAAGCTCTTTGGGACGTCCTCCCGACGTGAAAAGCGCTATATCAAATGCAAGGATTATTATTATTATTATACCTTAACATAGCTCTCACAGGCCTGGGTACAACTCAATGACTGCTCTGGACCACGGAGACCTGGTGAAGGCTGGTGTGTGGCAGCATCTCTGCATACACATACAGACACAGACTCAGACAATGGACACACACATATAGACACCCACCTATACATACCTAAACACTCACAAACACAAATACACACACAAGCACTAAGGTACAGAACCAACGATACAGAGAGAGATACAGGTAGAGAGATACACACACACACAAACACACACTCGTGCACAGACAGAGACATATAGAGACTGAGAGAGAGATTCAAGAGAGACATACACACTCACATACACAGATACCGATGAATTTTAATGCTGTTGATGTCACACATATCTCTGGAAAGCCAGAACACAAAGTGTGGGCACTGCACTCCCTGCGCCACATTTGGCCAAAGTGAGAAGTTAGAGGGTTTCCAGTCAACAGTTAAAGTTTCGTGTTCTGCATCTGTCTCATTACTTGTACAGAAAAACAGGAAACCAGGCGCTGGGGTGACTAACCACAGGGGATATGCAGAATTGAACTCACAGCCTCTTGTTCCTTTCTGTTGGTGACGATCATAGCACGAGAGCAAAGGGCGAAAATTACATGAAAATCAAAAACAGCTCAAATATACCATCAACGCATAGCAACAGCTCAAACTGGGGCCGTTTGTTTCAGTGACAATCGGACGGTTGATAACATAGATTTGGATAAAATCCTGTTAATTTGAACTGTAAATCCATGGTGTGCTGAATTCACTAGTGTCGCCAGAATGAGGGCATAAACTGCATCCTAGGCCTGCAGATTTTTTCTTTATCAACACAGGAACAGCAGAGTTTCCAAAAAGACATTGTTTTTCTGTAACCAGTAACTTACGAGAATACAGAGACACACAGGTATAGAGAGACAAAAAATCGGTACATACAAAGCCAGTTCGATATAGATATACTTCACCACACAGAGAGACAGATAAGGATATACACACACACAGAAACACACAACAGAGAGCGATACAAATAGAGACACACACAGACAGAAATTCACAGACACACACACACAAAAGACATAGAGAGAGATGGAGAGACACACACAGACAGACACAGAGAGATGCACACAGAAAGATACAGAGCCACACACATACAAAGAGAGAGAGATAAAGATACCCACAACAGAGTGATCAACAGAGAGAAGCATAGAGACACACACACGCACGGAGAGATACACTGAGAGAGATACATAGAGAGAGAGATAGATACACACACCGACAGCGGGAGATACAGGCAGACAAAGAGAGACAGAATGGGTCATTAGCCACAAAAGCAATCCAACAATTGACTAACAAGCGGGTTCCCACTTACAGCTACACAAACAGAGGTGTGTGTGTGTAGGGAAACTTGCCTATGGTTTTGCTCGGCCCGGGATCGAACACATTTCCTCTCGTTTGCGAGGCGAGTGCTATTTTGACAGCGCTCTAACCACTAAGCTTTCAACTTTGATTCTCAGACAATCTCATCCATTTTGAAGTTATTTAGTCCCCTCACACCTCCAAACACAGCCGGTCGCTGACCCACCACATCCCCATACCCCCCCACCCCACCCACTCCACCACCCACTGCTCCACGTGGCTGCCTCTGGCCTCCGAGTGTCCCCTCGTGCCGAGTGTACCACCTTCAGCCACTGTGCCCCGAAATTCTGGAAATCTTTCTCTCAATTCCTCCGCCTCGCCCCTCCCTCCACACCTTCATTTCCTGCCTAAAGACTTTCCTTTTTGATCGTGTTAATGGTCACCTCCCTCCTCCCTCTCCCCCGAGCTTGGGGTCAGACTCTGCCACTGTGAAATGCTCCAGGAAGCTCCCACCCATGAAGGGGCCTTGCAATATACGTTGTTGTAAGCTACAGGACTCCACAAATCTGCAAATCTAAAGTGATCTGGTGCTGAGGTTAAACATTAATGTAAATGATGTTGAGGGAATTGATGCCCTGAGCCTACCTTGGTGCTGTCTGTGGCCAGATGCTGACGGAGGTGAATTCCCTCCTCGTGGCCTCTCTCTCTCCCTCTCTCTCTGAGCTGCTGATCTCCTGTTCAGAGCAAAGGAAATGTTCACTTGCTGGTGCTGCCTCTGACACAGTAACTTACGAAGCTGCTGTCTGAACCCTGGTTGGCTCCAGTTCCTCACAATGTGCTGTAAACATCTGATTGGTTTGGTTAAAGAAGCCCCTTCGGCCCAATTATCATCTTTACAGAAACCGCACTTCCCCTTCTGCCATCACAGCACAGAGCTGTCTGTGTCTCAGACTCCTGACCCCCACAGCTGCTCCACACACTATTCTTGATGTTGCTGAGCCTCTCAGTAAAGGATCCTGTCCTGTGTCTGTGTGAGAAGTGTCTCCTTGGAGCTGCACTGGGTCCAATGGTATGTGGGCATCAAGTTAGCCCTCTGTGAGGGTCTCCAGTCCTGTTCCTGAGCAGGAGGGCGGCAGTATTCCAGGGCACTCTCTGCTAATGACAGCACAGCCCATCGTCAGGACCTGGAAGGGCAGATCAGTCACAGGGGGCAGGGAATACTGGATTCGACAGGGAGGAGTGGGTGAGGGAGCAGTTGTGTAGGGGTGGGAAGGGGTCGGTGTGCGTGAGGAGGTGGAGGGGTAATCGGGGGTGGGGGGAGTGGGTTCGTGGTGGTGGTGTTGGCAGGGGGAGTGGGTGACCCAAAGTTGGAAATCGTTCTCGGGTTGGATTGGCCACCAGTGCAACCCCTGATGTAAACAATCAGGATCGGCTGGTTTGTGCTGCTGGTGTCATACACAGTACAGGACAGGCAGAGCATACAGTGTCACTGTCCTTCCTACCCACACACAGATGCATTCAAACACACACACAAAGATACTTACACAGAGACATATACATACGCAGAGAAACACACACAGATGCCAAGAAAGATGCACAGAGATACACTTTAATTCTGCTGGTGTCACACACAGCTCGGGACAGGCAGAGCACATAGTGTGACAACTGCCCTCCCAACACACACAAAGACACACACAGCCCGGGACAGGCAGAGCACATAGTGTGATCACTGCCCTCCCTACACACACACAGACACACAGCCTGTGTTCTGCATTGTTCCCATTGTTTGTACAGAAAGACAGGAAACCAGGCGCTGGGGATGGGCAGAGCTGAACTCACAGCCTCTGTCCCTCTCTACTGCTGACAGTCACAGCACGAGAGCAAAGGGCAAAAACAACACGTAGATCACACACAGCTCAAATATACCATCAACACACAGCGACAGCTCAAACTGTTTGTTTCACTGACAGTCGGAAATTATAGAATGTAGGTTTTGTGTAAAACGGCTTATTTCAACTGTAAAACCATGTGTAGTGAATCACTTGTGTAAACACTGTCAGGGCGTTACCCACACAGCCCAGACCTGCAGTTTATATCTTTGTTAACAGAGAAATTCCATAAACACACAATTTCCTCTCTGGGCCTCAGTGAGAGTCAGTAACTGACTGGAATAGACACACACACACACAGATACAAACAAGCAGACAGAGACACCCACGTAGAGAGAGAGGGAGATACCCACAAACACACCCACCCACAAATACAGGCAGAGAGAGAGACTTACAGAGACACACATACATATACACATACACAGAATCTGCACACACACACACACACAGGCAGAGAGAGGTTCAGAGACACACTTACGCATACAGACACATACAGACTGAGACAGACAGACACACTCACAGATACACTCACACACAGACGCATGGAAATACAGAGAGAGAAAGAGACAGGTAGACCCACACCGACAGACAACGATACGATATAAAAATATATTTGTATTGCCGCCTTTCATGTCAGGAGGACGTCCCAAGGCCCATCGAGATACACACAGACAGAGGCTCTGCCCAAGGTATGGAGGCAAAGACGGAACCAACAGGAGAGCCTCGGAGCAGAGCTGTACACAGTGCTCCAGAGTGCGGCAGATCAGAGCACTGTTATCTGGGCCTGTTATGGGGCCTGTTATCTGCAGATCTAAATCGAACTCGTGCTGAGGTTAAACATTAATGGCAATGATCTTCCAGTTACTCGACACCCTGAGCCTACCTTGGGGCTGATATCTGTGTCCAGGTGATGATGGGGCTGGAGTCTGGCCTCACACTAACTCCTGGTCCTGTCTCTCTCTGAGCTGCTGATTCCTGTTCAGAACAAAAGGAAGTTTGACTTCCTGGTTCTGCCTCAAACGCAGTAACTGAAGCTGCAGTTCGCTGAGCAATGGGAATCCTGGCTCGGCTCAGCTGCTCTCAATGTGCTGGAAACATCTGACTGGTTTTGATGAAGAAGAGCCTTCCGCCCATTTATCTCATTCTCCAAAACCCAACACCCACCAGCTTCCCCCAACACCAACACACTCCCTCCTCCTGCCCCCCAGCACCCTCCCTCCTCCTGCCCCCCAGGCCCAGCAACCTCCCTCCTCCTGCCCCCCAGCCCCCTCCCTCCTCCTGCCCCCAGCCCCAGCACCCTCCCTCCTCCTGCCCCCCAGCCCCAGCACCCTCCCTCCTCCTGCCCCCCAGCCCACACCCTCCTCCTGCCCCCCAGCCCAATCACTCCTCCTTCCCCACAGCTCCAGCCCAATCACTCCTCCTTCCCCACAGCTCCAGCACACACCCTCCTCCTTCCCCCCAGCCCCAGCACCCTCCCTCCTCCTGCCCCCCAGCCCCAGCACCCTCCCTCCTCCTGTCCCCGCCCAGCAACCTCCTCCTCCTGCCCCCCAGCTCCAGCACTCTCCCTCCTCCTGCCCCCCTGCTCCAGCACCCTCCCTCCTCCTGCCCCCCAGCCCCAGCACACACCCGCCTCCTGCCCCCCAGCCCAATCACTCCTCCTTCCCCACAGCTCCAGCACACTCCCTGCCCCCCAGCACACAGCCGCCTCCTGCCCCCAGCCCAATCACTCCTCCTTCCCCACAGTTCTAGCACACTCTCTCCTCCTGTCCCCCATCCCCAGCCCACTCCCTGCTCCTGCCCCCCAGCCCACTCCCTCCTCCTGCCCCCCAGCCCACTCCCTCCTCCTGCCCCCCAGCCCACTCCCTCTTCCTGCCCCCCAACCCCAGCACACTCCCTCCTCCTGCCCCCATCCCCAGCCCACTTCCTCCTCCTGCCCCCCCAACCCTTCTCACACACACACACACACACACACACACTGACTGCTCTCACACACACACACTGACTGCTCTCTCACACACACACACATTGATTGCTCTCTCTCACACCACACACATACTGACTGCTCGCACATAGACACACACACCTACACACACACTGACTGCTCTCACATAGACACACACACCTACACACATACTGACTGCTCTCACACACACACACTGACTGCTCACACACACACACACACTGACTGCTCTCTCTCACACACACACACTGACTGCTCTCTCCCACACACACTGACTGCTCACACGCACACACACTAACTGCTCTCTTACACACACACACCTACACACACACACACACACATACTGACTGCTCACACACACACACTGACTGCTCTCCCCCTAAAAAATCCCACACACACTGAACCAGGCTGATGCATACGACACATACACAGACACCGATCCAGGCTAACACACAAACACACACACGGAGCTCGGTCTCACACACACACACACGACTACAGACCTACACACTGACACACACACACACACGACTGACAAATACACAGACATACAAACACACACACACAGAGAGAGAGAGAGACGGAGACGAAGAGAGACAACGAAAGAGAGATCCTGAAATAGAGAGACGGAAATATATAAACTGAGAGGGACTGACACACACAGACACAGAGAGAGAGAGACTGTGAGAGAAAGTGCATCAGTTGTGGTCGCTTACAGCAGTTTAGCAGTGACTGAGGGTCGGGGCTCTCCAGCCGCCCGCACGGCCGTAGGCGGTGTGTGTCAATAACGGTCCCCAGAGCAGAGATGGGAGAGGAATCAGGATCAACATCTTTAATAATCAGTCACTACAGTGTCCAGAATATATTCCATATTACACAGACTGTGTGGACAGTCACTGCCTCAGTCAGTGTCACATCCATCACTGACAGCTCAGCTCTGATTCCCCGCAGTGACTCAGCTGATTTCTCCGTCTGAACTGAACCCATTCCCCACAGCCTGAAACACATTAAACAGGAAATAAACCCACGGGATAATGGTACAAACTGTAAACTGTTCGTGTCGCAGTTTAATGAATAAATAAATCCCTTCAAACTGTTCCCATTCTGATACACAGCCCTTTCTCTGTGTGTTTATCACATTAAACACTGACACAAACACTCACCTGATCTCCTCCAGACTGGTGCAGGTCTGTATGAGGCGGCGGAGAGCGGGACAGAGCCGTCTGTGAAGGAGTTAAGCTCAGGTCCAGGAACCTCAGTGAGCGGTTTGTACTGAGAGCGGAGACCAGAGCATCAGTGCAGCCATCGGTCAGTCTGTTACTGTCAGCCTGAGATCAGAGACACAGAGACATGACAGGGATCAGAGTAAACACAGTGGGTATAACCCACTGTCACTCACAGTTTGTTTGATGCCGGACAGGTTGCAGGAGTTCATACACACAAACACACACACACACCAACACACACAAACACAGACAAAAACATCGCCGCAGATACACACTTACTCTCACACACACAAATACACACAAACACATGACCCACAGAAAAATACACACAAACACAACAAACAGAGTCACATAAACAGAGAGACGCGCACACAGACACACACATACACACATAAATACACACACTCACACAGACAAAACAAACACTCTCACACAAACGCGCTCACACAGAAACATACACAATCACACCCAAAAACTCACCCACGCAAACACATACGTACGCAAACACACACACAAAACTCACACAAGCAAACACACACACAACACAATCAATCACACAAACACAACACAACAATCAATCATTCACAAACACACACACACAACAATCAATCATTCACACAAACGCAGACACATATCCACACAAACACAACCGCACACAAACACAGAAAAAAACCCACGCACGCACAAACACGCATACACACACAAACATACATAAACATTCACAAACACACACAAATACACACACACAGAAACACACAAACAAACGTACACGAAAACAGACTGACAAACACGCACACACAAACACCACAAACATACAAACGTACATAAGATACACTCAAAAAACACAAACACAAACAGAAGCACATCAATGTACAAACAAACACACACATATAAATAGACATACATAGATACACACAAAAATACACACAAACACACACAAATTCACACAAACACACAACACACAAACACTCACAAAAGCACTCAAAACTCATACACACAAAATCGAACACAGCCAACACACACACTCAAACACACACACACGCAAACATAAGCACAATCACTCACACAAGCACATACAAACATAAACAAAATGGCACACACACACACATAATACATACATATACACACACAAACACATGACCCACGTCACACAACACACACAGACACACACGAAAACACACTCATGCAAGCACACACACATACACACACAAACAAACACATGTCGAATAGACAAATACAGACACACACAGAGATACACACACATACACAGAGAAACAAACAGAAAAACACACACACTCACAGAAACACAAACAAACGGACACACACACAAACATACGCAAACATACACGTAAAGAGAAACACAAAAAAAACACACAAGTACACACACAAATACACATACATAGACATACACAAACATACATAATCATACACGCGAAAACATACGCACAGATACACACAAACAAAGACACACAAAAACAAACTCACAAATACGCACACACAAAAACACAACACAAAATCACACACACATAGAAACATACATAAAGACAAAGACACACACTCAAAAACACACAGACAAAGAAACATAAAATCAAACACAAACACAGCCATAAAACACATACATAGATTCACACAGACAAACATACGCAAACACACACACACAAACACACACAGAAAAACACACAAACATAAATACACATACACACAACCAAACACACAAACGTGCAAGCACACAGACACAACCACGCACATACCCGCAGACACGCACACACACACACACAAACACACACACGCAAATACACAATAACATCAATAAAATTGCATTTATTGAGCGTCTTTCACGTCGGGAGGACGTCCCAAGGCGCTGTACAGTCAAGTCATGACCCGACAAGGGGGAAATGGTCAGGGTGAGGGGAGGGAAGGGAGGGAGCGAGGAGGGGGTAGAGAGTCGAGAGGGAGCTGAAGGCTCGGTCAAAGAGAAAGGTCTTGAGATCGGCCTTGAAGGAGGAAAGGGAGGAAGCGGCGAAGGCACTGGGGATAGAGTTCCAGAGCCTCGGGGCTGAGAGGCTGAAGGTCCGGCCACCGATGGTAGGGCGGTTGGGCGGCGGGATGTGGAGCAGACCGGAGCCAGAGGAACGGAGGGTACAGGCAGGTACATGGGGGATAGTAGGTCGGAGAGGGGAGAAGGGGGCGAGGCCATGGATGGCCTTAAAGTTGAGGACGACGATCTTGAACTCGATCCTCTGGGATACACACACACAATCGCATACACTCACAGGACACAACAACATGGAATACAGAAGACACACTAAGAACAGTAACACCAATCACACAACAACGAACGAACTAAAAATTATAGTTGTATATGCCGCCTTTCATGTCAGGAGCGTCCCAAGGCTCCATGAGATACACACACTCTCACAAGCACAAAGTCACACAAGCAAACACAGTCGAACACAAATGCACACTGAGAGACAAAAAACTGCAGAAACAAACACACACAGACAGAGAGACACACAAAATATGTATATAGATGTACTCAAAAACACACGCACAAACACAAACACAGAAACAAAGACAAACACACACACAAACAATCACTCACACAGACACACACACACTGACGAAAGCACTCACAAAAGCAAACAGACCCACATACACAGGCAAACGCACACACTACACAAGACACGCAAACAGACATACACACACACACAGACATACATACACACAGTGTTGTCATGGGTTAATGTTGAAGTGTGGTTTTAGAATTAAAATAGAAGTGCAAAGGCGGCGAAGCTCAGTAACTGAAGGCAGAACCCAAACAATGGCAATATAAGGTCAGGACGTACAGGGACACGGAAAGTCCTTGTGGTTAAAGGGAGAATTGAAATTGAAACATATTATGGATGTACCCAAATAAGGAGTTGTTTTTCTTAAAAAGACAGTTTTGTCTGGAGTTATTCAGTTGTCTTTAAACAAAGGTGTGTTAGATACCTCTCGGGAATGG